AGCTCTTCAATTCAAGGTTGGAAGGATTTTGTGATGTTGGAAAAGTTAAAATCCCTTAAGTTAGTATTGAAATACTAGAGTAAGTAGGTGTTTGGTAATTTAGACTTTCAATTTGACACTTTAAGAAAAGTAGATAGGAAGTTGGATGTTATGATTGATCTAAGATCTCTTTATGAGAAGGAAATTCAGGTCTGTTCGAGTACCTTGGTAGATATTTGGTCTTTGTTAAAGGTTAAAGACTATAAGTTGTTTCAAGGTGAAAGTCAAAATACCTTAAGGAATGTGATTCTAATTTAGGTTTCTTCCATGCTTCGATTAAGAATAGTAGTGGATGAATGCTATCTTAGCTTCGAAGTTCAATGAAGTCTAATTGGAAGGGGTATCAGAGATTAGTTAAGAAGTGTTCAATTATTTCTCAAAGATCTTCAGGAAGTATAGTTTTTAAAGGCCTTGCTTGGATGGTATTTTCTTCTGATATCTTTCAGCTGCGACAACCTTTCCTTGACTACTCTTTTTTTACCTACAGGAGCCAGATTGTGTTATTGCCTTGTGTGAGGGTAACAAGTGTCCTAGCCCGTATGGTTTCTCTTTCTCCTTTATTATAATATTTTGGAAGCTATTTAGAGAAGGTGCTAGAGTGATGTTTGATCAGTCTCATTAGTTTTCATCGTTACCCTATTCTTTTGCATCTTATTTTGTTACCTTGATCCATAATGTTAAATCTCCTGTTCATCTAAGTGATTTCAGGCCTTTGGTTGGTTCCTTATATAATTTATTGGATAAAATGTTAGCTGCTAGATTGGGAGAGGTCTTGGATAAGCTTATTTGCATAATCAGTCTAGAAAGCCATGTCTCAATTTTAAGGTTGATTTTGAGAAATCCTATGACACAATGAGCTGTGAGTTTTTGGATTTTATGTTAGTTTATTTTGGTTTTAGTGATAAATGGAGATCATGAATTAGAGCATGCGTGTTTGCAGGAAATCTCGCGGTGTTGGTCAACGGTTGCCTGACTCAAGAGATTGGCATTCAAAGGGGCCTAAAGCAAGGTGACCCCCTAGCCTCCTTCCTTTATCTCCTAGCGGTGGAGAGCTTAAGTGTTTTATTTAGGAAGACAACAAAGTTGGGCATGTTTTCTTATTTTAGGATAAGAGTTTCAAATTTGGTTGTCTCCCATCTTCAGTATCCAGATGATACTTCTTAAGAAATATGGTTAGACATAACTCAGTCTTACAAAACAGACTTGTAGGGTGAGGATCGCCCCCCACTTATAAGGACATGTTAAAGTCATATATTATCTGATGTGAGACTCTTAACACACCTCTCACGCCCAGAAATGGACATCTGAAGCATGGAAATAAATAGTGGGTGACTCGACAACAGAAACCTGATAGCAGGTGCCCCACTGAATCTTAAATGAGGCTTGATATCATTATAAATACGCTTGGATCTCAACCCCAAAAGTTATCTTAAGGGGCGAGGTTGCTCTCACATATTTATACAATCAACAGTCCGAGAACCTAAGAAATGTGAGACTTCAAACAAACTCCAACATCCCAAATACCAACTTCAACAATACTATTATTCTAGTGGACCCATTTGTTGATGATCTTTGACCTATATAGGCTATTCTCAGGGGTTTTGAGCTTGTTTATGGCCTTCATGTCATTTTGCTAAGAGTAGCCTAGAAGGTGTTAATGTGGATCTCGTCTTTTCGGACACCGCTAATAACTTTCTCCATTATAGAATTGAGACTCTTCTTTTTTAGTATCGAGGCTTCTTGTTAGAGATATTCCTAGTATAAAAGTTAACTTGAGACCCCCTTAATAACCTTATTACTAAGAGACTCAATTCTTGGAAGCACAGATTTGTTGCCAGGTGATTTTACTTTATTATGTGCTTAATTTTATCCATATCTTCTTCGTGTCTTACTTAAAAATTCTTGTAAAAGTATGAGGAAAAATTGTTTATATTCAAATAAGGTTCTTATGGGGAGGTGTCAATGGAGATTATAAAATCTCTTGAATTAGTTAGGCTAATGTGTGCAAACCTACGAGTAAAGGTGATTCGAGGGATATAGACCTCCAGTAAATTTATCTCTTTTAACTAAGTGGATGTGATGTCCAATTTCGTGCACCTCTAGAATTTGGAGGATTATCCTTATTACTCGTTACGATGATTCTATTATCTCTTCTTTAAGGACACGATAAAGATTTTGATTTTTGAAACGCTCCCTATAGTAGAAAGGAGTTTCTTTTCTTAACTCTAATTAAACAGATAGTAGATAGTACCACTAACGTGGGCCCAAATCCACCCATATTTTTAGAGAATTTCTTATGTCACCCCTTGGACTTCTTAGGCACCATGCACGTTGAAAAAAATGCCCTCCTGATTCCGAAGATGTATATCCGGAAGCACCTTTTTCAGTTTTTTAAATTAATTTCTTAGATGAATCTATAGAATATTTCCGAATGCATATATACGAAAGAAACCCAAAATCAGAAAACCAGATAATCAACATTGCAACGATAAAATCAACATTTATAAAATAAAATCGGCATTACATTGATGATTTTGATAGAAATTTAAATACTACAATTCAATAGCTCGGTGGTAGCTTGCACATCTCTAAGATGTTATTGACCATTCTTCAGACTGTCGCCTCCAACTCGAGCAGAATTTTCTCTTCGAAACCGAAATACGTTCACCACATCGCCCTAATGTCATCTTGATTCTTGAGCTCAAACTTGCTGTAAACAACGTTCCCTTCGTTGTCAACTGAAGGTGAATGATTCTCAAGTTTCACAACCTTTTGTTTGTCATTGTAAGGTAGGTGATATTGGATCTCGTCCATGATATCAGCGAGGGGGGGGGGGGTGAGATCCATGAGCTTGAACGTCCTCCCGGGTGTTTTACCGTCAGAAAAGGAGACACTTGCGACATACCAATAGAGCTTGATTTTAAACAATTAAGACATTTTTGTATTTATGTGAAAGATAACAAATGAGACCCCAAATTTATAGAAAACCTAGGTGAATATGGACCAAGCATTTTCTGTCAATCTTTTAGCCGAAGCTATATCCAAGGAACGAACCCATAATTATTGGTTCCAGAGGTGTATCTCCAGAACTTTCCCTGAAACTGCAAAATTAAGAACCTTCCATAGATACATATCCGGAACATTTTCCTGCTACATTTTAAAACTAGAACTCAATATAGAAGCACATCATAATAGACAAATAAAAGGCATAAGTGCATAAATAAGGCATAAGAATAAAAAGTGACTATTTTGCACTTCAAAATTTTTACAATTAGTCGTCTGATTATACAAGAATTCAAAATGAATCAAAACAAGTGTCGTCGGCTAAATCTATTGGTGGTACCCCTTTGGACTTTTCTGAATTCGATTCCTTTTCAATGTTGTTCAATCTTTCGAATTCGTGCATCCTTTCAACAAAATGATCCGGCCACGTCTCAGAATTTACGGTTGAATGAGTCATCCATTCTGGTGATGTAGGTGGTATGGGGCATCCCAGTTTCAAATAAACTTGTACAAAATGTCTTGATTTTGCAAGCCATCCAATACACATGATGCAATCATTTGGATTTTGAAGTGGTGCGGTGCAGAATGGAAAAAGGTTTTCGAAAACCCGTATCACGTTAAGTCAACGCACACCCTATCATATGCACATGCAATAAGATGACCCATATCAGAAAAGGTCATTCATTTTGACACAGGTTCCAGACCACTCATGCAAAGAACAAGAGATTCATAAACCGCATCAAATTTTTCTTTCTTTCCATACAACCGCATATACGATTCTTTATGCGTCTTCAACTCTTGAATTAGTTGATGACAGACAAACGCATGACTATCCTCTCCTTTACCAAGCAAAGCCAAAATGGCTCGGTAACCACAAATAACACTAAATTTCCACTTTTTAGTACTTAACATGTAACCACAAATCTTAAAAGGACATTCACATTTTCTACTACCGGTATCGTTTTTTTTAAACTTCCGTAGAGGAGTCTGATATTTCCCGCTTGTTTCGCACAACAAAGTTACAAAAGCGTTTCTTCTTTTTGAACCATTACCTGATCTTCCTATAACCACATCAAAACCAAGTTTAGTTGCAGTCCTACAAATCCATGTGAGCATGCTTTCATGATCATTAAACTCTTACTTGTTCATTTTTGGTCGGATCGATGATTTTTCATTATGTATTTTGTTCATTTTTACCTGATTCTCATGAACTGTAACTTGTTTGATAAATTTGATTGCATATTCGTGATCAGCGCGAAAAATCAGTTCAAATAATATATGAATTTATAATTTATTATAATAAAACTTTTTAAAAAAGAATCAAACATTAAAAAAAAAATTAAGAGACTAATTTAATATTTTAAAATAACTTAAAAAAACAACACTAACATTGTTTATTCTATGTCTATGTTGTTGCTTTGTCGTTGGATTCCATAAACAAGTATCTTGTCACAACACAACCTCACTTCACACGTTTTACATTTACTCCTCAACCTTAACCCATGTCCTCTTTCCCTCTCTTTCTGTTAAGCTTTTTGTCTTTCCCTCTTTTATGACGGGGTTTTGTTTTATGCTTCTATCTGGGGTTTAGGTGTTAATGGTTGATTGCCGGCCGCCGTAGAAACATTATCTGCCGGAATTATTCAGAGGGCTACCAACATCTACTCTAATCGCTAATAACTTCATAGGTATTTATTTCATTTCTTAGATATCGCTCAACATCATTTTTTTTAATGAAATTTTGTAATTTTTTATAACAAGTTATAATTTTTGAATGTTATTTAGTTGAATTGAATGTGTTGATTGTTTTGAAGTTTTTGTTGTTAATGAACTGATGCAGGAGTTTTATTATTTTTGAATAATTGTATTGCTTCCTTGCACAAAGACAAACCCACCAACTGTATGATAGTTTTCTTGTGAGAAGAAAGAGAACATATGTACAAATTTTCATGTGAAACATGGCGAACAGCAAATATGAGTATGTCAAGTGTTTTGAACTTGAGGATGAGGTGATGTTTCCGAATTTTATCCTTGTTTCGATCAATGCTTGTAAACTTTCCAAGCCTTATGATGTAAATGCCTTGAATTTGATGAACTCTTGTGCTGTTGCGGTGCTCGAAGAGTTTGCAGATGTAGTCCTTGCATATGGGTTTAGTGATGAGTATACCTTTGTTTTCAAGAAGAGCACCAAGTTCTATGAAAGGCGAGCCAGCAAAGTGTTATCAATTATTTCTTCTTTTTTCTCATCTGTCTTTGTGAGAAAATGGTGCGAATTCTTTCCTCAGAAGGAACTACATTCTCCTCCTTCATTCCATGGGAAAGTTGTAGCTTGTGCATCCATCGATGCCCTTCAAGCTTATCTTTTATGGAGGCAAAATATCTGTCATTTGAAAAATCAATATGATCAATGCTTTTGGCGACTTGTGGAACGCGGGATGAGTGAGAGGGAAGCACGGGAGTTCATCGATGGAGCTAAGAAACGTGATTTAAATGATATTTTATTTGACGAGTTCAATGTCAATTACAATACACTGGATCCAATATTTCGACAAGGTTCATGTATTCTAAAGACAATGGTAGGGGCTGTGGTGAAGTACACAGAAACGGGTGCTCCAGTTAAAAGACAAAGAAGAGAGATAATCACAGTGCATTCCAAGAAAATAGCAAGCACGCGATTTTGGAATGAACATTCTATTCTTTTGAAGGAGCTTGGTGGTTTTGTGGAGGAGATTAACAATGTGAAGCCGGAGTATGTGAGGTCCTTTGAGTTTGATAGCAAGTTGATGCCATCTACATGGGTTGTAGTTCGAATAGATGGATGCCACTTCCACAGATTTTCTGAGATACATGACTTTGCGAAGCCAAATGATGATAGAGCTCTTAACTTGATGAATTCATGTGCGGTGGCTGTCTTAGAAGAATTTAGGCAGGATATTATAGTCTTTGCTTATGGGGTTAGCGACGAGTATAGTTTCATTCTTAAGAAATCCACCGATCTTTATGAAAGGAGAGCTAGTAAAATCATATCAGCCATTGTGTCTTTCTTCACATCCACTTACGTGATGCGATGGAAAGATTTCTTCCCTCAAAGTGAGTTAAACTACCCTCCTTCTTTCGATGCACGAGCAGTGTGCTATCCATCTGCCGAGATTTTACGGGACTATCTTTCGTGGAGGCAAGTGGATTGTCACATAAACAATCAATATAACACTTGTTTCTGGAAGCTTGTTGCATCGGGAAAAAGCAAAAGAGAAGCTCAGCGTAGTCTAAAGGGTGCTCAACTGCAAAAGAAAATTGAAGAATTGGCTATTGACTATAATAAGTTGCCAGTGATGTTCCGACAAGGATCCTCAGTTTTTTGGGATAGGGTAGACAATGTTCTCATCAATCCGGAGAATGGAGAGTCTTCTGAGAATTGTGGAAAGGTCATTGTACAACACATTGACATCATTGGATCAGCCTTTTGGCTAGAACACCCTGGTATCCTTGATGAAAAGATAAATGTGTTGAAGAAATGTTGAGTGTGATAATTAAAACTTCATTACTTTATTTTTGTGCTGCTAATTTTATTTTATTTCAGTTTGGTTCATTATTCTTGTATTCATATTTGTATTTTCTTATTTAAGATAATGAATTTGAGAAGTATTACATAGGTTTTATTATTGTGAGTGCAAATATTCATGCAAGCATTATAACCATTTTTGCAGCTATTTAGATTTTATAGTACAGCTGTAAGTCTGTAACATGTTTAATGAAACAAACACGCCTCAAGGATATTTTGCTATCGGGATACAACATCCTTGAGCCTGCCGCTTTCTTTACCATTTACAAATTCACCCTGCATATTGCACTTAATACTCGGTAAAAAGAATAAGAAATCCACTCTGCCAGGCAGCATGCAAACTAGTATCAGAAAGCATTAGCTATCCATTTTTGAGCTTTAAGAATGAGTATGATATGGTCATGCGAATTAGAGTATTAGTATTTGCAGAAGCATATAAACTCGAAGAGTTCATTCCTTGTTGGAGGGTGGAGTATATGCTGGCTGGCTTGTGCAAAGAGTTCAACAACCAGTAAGGCAGAAAGTTCAACATTTTCTCAACGGAGCTCATTCCGGAAATCTTGATCTCTTATAGAGTAAGTCAATTAATGAATAAATTTATTTGTATCTTTCACATTCTTCTTGTTCTTCATTCATCTAATCGTATATTGGATTATTAGAATTTGCCGCACAGTTAGATGAAGGGAAAGATTTATTGAAAACTGTGGAAGCAATTAAAGATGCAAGCAAGCGTGGCGCACTACACTTTGCTGTTCTTGAAGGACAGACTGAGATTTGTAACTACCTGTTGGAGGATTTGAAGCTCCAAATTGATTCCAAAGATGATGATGGAGAAACTGCTCTCATTCACGCTGCAATGCAAGGACACACTGCCACTGCTAAGTATCTTATTGACCATGGTGCTGATCCTACTATTGCTAGCAATTTAGGAGCTACGACATTGCATCATTCAGCTGGGATAGGTTTTTCCTAATTTTCTCTTGGCTTTTTTCATTATGTTCTGTGATAAATTTAGTTTTGCATGCTCAATCACCCATAGCCTAGTCTATTGCCAACTTAACATTGTCAATTTTCGGAGCCTTAACCTTACGCCACATAAACAATAAAGGCTCTTCATAGTTGATCATCATGGTTTGTGGCTGTCATTGTAAATTTGTGAACTTCTCCCAAATTCAAATTTGAAGCAAGTAAATGGTATTCAAGAGTAACCTCCAAGGGAAATCTTACACCACCAACAGGATATTGTTTCAAACCAACTATTGTTTTCTTAAACAAACTTAAATATTTATATATGTTAAATATAAAGCAAAAACGGACTACCAAGTAGCAAGGAAAGTGCTTCATGTTCAATTTCACTACCTTAAAGTTCATCAAAAGAATATTTTGGTACAATAAATTAGTTGTTTATTCGTTTATATTTAAATAAGGGTCGTTAATGGGACATACCAGTAACAAAAACTAAACTAAACTAAACCAATCATTCTTATTCAAAACAAATTAAACTAATTTATTTTATTCAAAATTAAGTCAGAACTAATTTTATCAATTCGACATTTTGAACCATACTAAATTATTTGTTATATAATTGAAACTTGTCGTACTTTAAAATGTACCCTTAAGATTCCACTTATCATATTATTTACATCTCATCAAATCACAAACATGGTATTCTCCTAACCCTCTCTCTTTGAGTTTGCCTTTGGGGAGAGATCACCAAACACCTTTGTGTTTTCTTGTTTGTTTATATTCTAACATCACTAACTTTATTCAAAATACCAAAATATATGTTGTTTCCTCTTTTTTATTGTACAAGGTAGGGGCTTGCAATCAATGAATCAAGCTTGATTTTTAAATTAAGGTTCTGATTTTCTAAGTCAAAGTTTTGGTCAACTAGTAGTTCACAAAGCTTTTTCCTTCAAGGCATGACCTATAATCTTATGCCATCTTCATGTTAAGTTTCATTCAACATCATTTGATCAAAAGGAGTTCAAGTTTGATGCATAAATTCAAAGATGATTCAAGCATGGTTCATGTGTTTATTTCCATGCCATTTTCATTCAATTCTCAATAAATCATCAAGGTTATTCAAAGAACAATCGAGCTTCCTCTATTTGGTGTTCAAGTGATCATTATTGAGCCTTTGGATGAAAGGAAACTCAAGAAAATTCTATATAGTTGGTTGACCTAAAATCAAGTATGACATGCCTTTTGGTCCAAATATCATAACTCCCTCATTTCTCAACGTTTTTGGGATCCTCTTTGAGCCAAATGTCACATTTGGTATCCTCCACGACTTTGCTTCAAGGGTCAATACTCAATTCAATCTCTAAGTCCATCAATTTTTGAAGTTGCTCAAAGGTCACATATGCACAAAACTAGGTTAATGACATGTTTAACCTAATGTCATACCTGTTTTTAAGTGTCACAACCTTAACTTTCAACTCATGTCATTTTCACCTCAAGCATCATTTTAAATTGGTTCTTTTTGCATTGTATTCTCCTCCATGAGAAGATCATTTGGCCTGAAGAAAATCACAAAACACACGAGTGGGTTCAATTTGGCCTAATCAAGAACATGGTGACCTAAACTTTGTTTTGTATTGTGGCCTATAATTGGTAATAATGTAAAACTCAACTTGAGACCACCAAAACCATGCGCAAACTTGTACCGAACTAGGACGCTCAAATTCCTCATTCTCTAATAAGGGTACGTAGGCGCGAGGATCTCTATCCTTCGCGATCTCACTAATAACTAACCACCTCTAGTCGGGTGAACTACGAATGCTCTAATTCCATCCTAGTTAGGATACGTAGGCACGAGATGTGATGTCTTGGCGAGCATACTTTGTATATACGTTAGGTATTTACTTTAGCACTTTCCCTTAACAAGTAAACTTTAGCATAACACAAATACTAACAAGAGGTTGTTGTACAGTACTGCAGATACTTAGGATGCTATCATCTTTCCTAGGTATAACCAACCCTCAAACCTTAGATTCTCTTAGCTTTGTTGTTACATAGTGCAATTAGAGTTTTCTTTTAATTTTTACCCTTTCCTTTGGATAAATCAAAGCTAGGTAGTGAACTTCATGATTTGAAATTCAAGTTAATTAATAGTTTGATATCTGATTCTCACCGCAACAGAAATGGCGACTTCACTGGGGATTTTGTTTCCCCTAAGAGGGTTAAGCCTACCTTGTTTGTATTTATGTTATTTTATATGTTTGCTTGCTTGTATACTTGTATATTTGTAAATATATGTATATATGTATGTATGCAGGGTTGTTACCTTTGATTGGTTAGGATAAGTCTTATACCCGGACTTGAGTGTACATTTATGATAGGATGGTGGGTATATTCAAGGAGACTTTGAGGGAGTTTAATTCCGAACGAGTTAACTTGAGAACCCCCACTCAGTTGAGGCCCTCTTGGAAGTAATAGTGTTGAATGAGCCATCGTGAATGCACTATTACTTTCGACCTAGGAGCCTGTAATACTTAGGACCTTTAGATTACTTCTTTACCCCACTTTGGCCTTGTTAGGATGTAGTGTGATGACTATGAGGGTGTAAACCCAAAGTATTTGATACGTGATACTACACTTAGACGAGACTCTTTTGAGAATATTATTGGTTCCCGAGTCAATTTGTGTGCCGATAATATCCGAAAGATGGGTCGACGACTTTGGAAACTTCTTAGAACCTTGTTCTGCAGATACAAGAACCCTTAGTACACACCTTTTTAGGATAGGTAGACCATGGCTCCACGCTCGTAATCTTCAAACTTAGGCCCTTGTTTGTTTGCCTATACATATGTGTGAATATCTGTATATGTGTGTTTATGCATCCACATATACATTCCTGCATTCATGAGTAGCCCTTTGGTTTCAAGGAACTCAGTTGTTCATTCTTTTGCAAAAATCAATAGAGATCATGGATTTTGAGTGAAACTTCTCAGATTTTTCAAAAATGTTTGCAACTTCCTTTTAGGTTCCTTGAAACCTTTTGGCTTGAATTTTCATTGCATGAGCATGTTGTCACATTTGCATTTCCCAGCTTTGAGTCTCATCCATCCTTTGTCTGTAACCCAGTTTTACTTCTTGATACCAGCATTAGACTTGAAGTAAATTTTGAAGGATCATGAACTCAGGAGAGCATGACCAGTTTGTGACAAGAGTGAATATCGAATTGATGAAAAATCAGTTGGATCAGCTTGTGGAAGCTATGACAGCCTTGGCAAAGAAAGATGACCATATTCAGAGGACTTTAATGAATGGTGTTGCTCAAGATCAGTCTGTGCAGATTCTTGTTGAGAACCAGGTTATACAAGAACATACCATTATCCGAGATGGACATCCTTCTTCTCTCGATGCTACAGACTATCAGATTTTTACCTTTCCTATGCCAGATTCCCAAGATACATTTCCTGTGTTGAAAACCAAGGACCCACAAGACGTTGAGATTTTGGAGAGACGTCGTGTGGTGGAAGTGAAGCTTAAAGCCATGGAGGGTTGTGACACTCTTAATCTGAATGATTTGAACATGTGTTTGGTACACGACCTTGTGATGCCACCAAAGTTCAAGACGTCGAAGTTTAAGAAATACAAAGGGGGATAGCTCTCTGAAGCAGCATTTGGTGATGTTTTACAGACAAATGACCTCATATGTCCGTGATGACAAGCTTATGATTCACTGCTTCCAAGACAGTCTAAGTGGAGTATCATTGAATTAGTACATACAGCTAGAGAGTAGCCATATCCAATCATGGTCATATCAAGCTAATGCCTTTGTGAAGCAATACAGCTACAATCTTGACATGGCTCTCATCCGTCTACAATTGCTACGCTTATCTCAAGAGGATAATGAATCCTTCAGAGGGTATGCTCAGAGGTGGAGAGAAGTAGTTGCTCGTGCTCAACCACCACTCTTGGATAGAGAATTGGTCGGCTTGTTTGTGGATA